AGTTGCTTTTGTAAGAGAAAAGAGAACGCCAGTTTATGCTTGTGATTGAGAAATTTCCTAGACGTAAACGCCACATCAAGAAGACCAGCTGTGGACCATCGCCTCGGATCATCGACTCTGATGAAGATGAGAACCTCGAAGCGTTAAACAAATAAAGGCCGTGTAACAACCGCGTGTAAGCTCAACTGCGTGATCGTTCCGTTCCAATGTCTACCAGTTACTCCCGCTGTGTGCTTCGGTCCTCGACGTGGCATTCAACTGGAAGCAGAGTTGTAGGTAAGGGTTTTTTCACAAAATGTGGTGTAAATTTGTGCTAAGTGCTCCACTTTGCATTTTACTGAGCCCATTGTGATTAAGATCCACAGATCATTCATTCATTCATAGTTCTGTAGGAACATAAGTGATTCACTGAAGTCAAACATTTACGAGATTTGTTTATAACATAAGGTTTGATTTACTCTGTAGGTGACATCGCTCTGCATAGCGGCGAGAGATTTCAGTTTTGAAAAGTTCCATAGTCACATTTCCCGAAGAATGTTCTCTTTTGAGCACTTATAAAAATGCCTAAGGAAGTCAGCAAGTGAGGCGGTTTCCTCGTCGTTTTCCGTGATGTTAGGAGTCTCGAAGCCAACAGTTCTACAACGAATTCCACGGTTTCGTGAAAATGTTGAGTCGTTGAGTCATTTGATGGAATGCATATGGGGAGATATTTCTAGGTTGTCTACAAAAACTACCTGTCATCGCCCGAAGGGTCAGTAGGACACGCTAGCCCCGCAAACATAGTTGAGTTCTGTCAACTGCCCGTTCACCAGAAGCTAAAAATGGACTATTGAATGTTGGCTGTGGTGTTCTTCCCTTGTTTCTGAGCACGATGAAGACCTGTAAACCAAGACACGCGTATTAAGGGAAGCCTTACTGTTTTCGACTCGATCCACTCGATCGGTTACACGTAATAAGAAGAAGTGGCTGCCTGTTATCGTTAATATGGTCTTCTTTAGTGAACGGGATATATTTCGCATTATCTGCTCTGTAATAACTGGTGTGCATTTCACAATAACAACTGTATAGGTAATCCTTGCTTGTACTATTCCGCCTGACCCTCCTTATGCTTCTGGTTTTGTTTTCTTCAATTCCTTTCGTATTTAGTGCTTCAAATGTCTATTTGACACTACCAACGCGTATACCTTATGCGAGACTGATGTCGAGAGTCACAGAATTAGTCGTAGGCGATGCAGATCGGCAGTTCAGGTGCGGTTTTCTCGCATTTTGTTGTTGCCAAAAATAGGAACATCTCGATGTTATTCTGCTTAACATGAGGCATTCATTAAAACTGCAGCGAACCGTTCAGGTAATGGTTTAAGTCCTTCGGGAAGAACTTTAGTTTTCTTGGACGGTTTTATTGCAGCTGGTCTCCACTTCATGCTTCATAATTGTGCCATTTCAGAAGAATACACTGCCTAGACTTTCGAAGAGTGGCACCACTGAGTGGGCAGAACTGGGTGCCAAGCATAAAATTTTAGCATGTTACAGGTACGCGAGCGGAGACATTTGCTGCTTGCTTTTTTCCTGTACAACATATTGCTGCATTGATTTCATAAGTTGTACTTTAGCGATACGGTTGTGATAGTAAGTGGGTGAAGATGTGTTTTGTTCCTGTTCATACATTACCTCTCTCCTTGCAGTGTTATAGTATTCATTGGAATTGTAGTTTAATGTAAAAATTATCGCTGTTTTGCTGTTTTTCCCATGAACTTATAACTGCAACGATGCTGAGATATTTGCAAATTTTGGACCCCGAGCCATATCGAGCCACGATTCTTTGCGTTTCTCTCAGTTAGTTTTCTACTTAGTGAGATGAGATTTTTATGGTTTATGTCTTTGATTTGTTAGTAATAAAAGCGAAACATTAGTAGAATGTTGTTTAGCGAATCCTCTGCATTGTTTTTTTCTCCTTCCTACACTGGTGTTTTGAACGAATACGGCTAGTGATTCAGTCGCTTTAGCAATTTGTCAATTATTGAAAGAACTGTATCGAACGATGTCAGTTTTGCCTGAATAAACAATAAAGTAACACATCGTGTTTGATCAACGGAAATTCTGATGGTCACTTTAATCAATGCCGAGGTTAACAGAAGTCGGTCTTGGGAAATGTTCTATGTTATATCATCTTTACTGACGTACTCTAACCAAACGTTAACGTCTCCGGGAATAGATTCATATAAGGGCTTTTGTTATAGAAACACTTCCTTCAGCATGTTTTCATTTTTAGTTTTGCATGGCCCGACATCACCCTTGCGTGGACCTCAGAACATGTATTCGATTCGCTCCTGGCTTCCATATTCCACGAAGGTATTCAGATTTCCATATGGGTTCAGGTGCTAGTTGGGAATGGTCGCCCTCTCTGTGAATGTCGTTGAATGCTGGATGAGTGGATTCCCTTTGGAATCCTAGGGTAGTCATGTTCTTGGGTCTTCTTCCTCTAGTGTAGAACATGTTCTCTGTCATCAACTGCACTCAGTCACTGTCATCAGGTGCACTGGTGTGTGAGCAGAACTTCGTGGCAGCGTGCCTTGACGCATAAATTGAAGGATGGTCAAATAAGGTAATAGAATCCTGCATTCTTAACCTTTTTATTTACTGCCTATTCTTTTTAACGGCAAGGTATTTTGCGAAATATAACTACTATAATACTGAGATATTTGCAAAACTCCGGACCGCAGGTGTCTGCGGTGGGGAACAAACGTGCTACTGTCCTTTCCGGGCAGTAACGCCTTCACCACCACACCACGCGAGTCCTTCGTTTCGCCTGTTTCTCAGTTAGTTCTATCGATCTTTTGCCATCAGCAGTCACCCGTAATAAGTTAAAATTGTGATTATAACTGCTTAACTGGGTTCAATACTCAGCTTAACTGGGTTCAATACCGTTTTGAGCTCCTCAGATCAATCCAGTTGACGGGTGATTGCTGATGGCAAAAGATCGATAGAACTAACTGAGAAACAGGCGAAACGAATGACTCGCATGGTGTGGTGGTGAAGGCGTTACTCTCCGGAAAGGAGAGTAGCGCGTTCGTTCCTCACCGCAGAAACCTGCGGTCCAGAGTTTTGCAAATATCTCAGTATTATAGTAATCCTGCATTCGTTGATGAAATGAAGAATGGAACGATGTGTGGCAAGGTTTGTGCCCTGTTGTTTGATTGGCGCATGGCGTACGAATTTTCGTTTAATTAGCGTTTCTTGTTTATTAACTCTTATAGGCTAATCAGGTGACCTAAAGAACAGTATGAAGATAGATTTTGGAGATGCCTGTTCTGATATTGCAGGTGCAGAAACTTCTTCTGCTACATTTTATGGACAAATACCCATGTATATCATGCTAAGTTCTGAATATGGAACGGGGTGGTATAATCACGGGTAGCTTGCCTGTCTCCCATTCATCACATCATTCAGTGCATCACATGCTTTGAATCTCTGAGCACAGGCAATATGGCACGGAACCTAATATAGTGTCCGAATGCAAATCATAAAAGATTTTTTGTAAAATATTTATGGCCTAGATTTGGAAGTTGATCATAACGATGACCAGACGCGCAGTACGAAAGTGCTCCGTTAAAAACAATATGTTGACAGGCTGAAAAAACCATCGGCCTCCCCCTTAAAGAGCTACAACTCTATTAGACATCTCCAAATCCAGCATTCTTTCAAGAATCATAAATCAATAGGCTAGTTATATTAGAAAGCCGAAAGGCGAAATAAAATAGGAATCGATGCAGAAAGAACCAAAATGAATCGAGGGAGATTGGGTGCTATTTGCTTCCCTTGTACCTAGCGAGCACTCGACTGCGCACCAAAATCCTAGTTTCTTAAACTCCCGCTGAATACGATACACCAAATCGAGCAGCTTTATGCACTGCTTTGCGAAATGAAAGAAATGGAAGATATTTGAACCACAAGAATGTTCAAAGAACAGCAAACGCCGGTGAACTTTGAGTCTGTGCTTATCCTTTACAAAAATTATTTCAGCTCTCGACCATCGGGGAAGGTATGCACAGGTCATTCCGGAATCAGTGTCCGAAATGCGATTTTCGTTTTTTTTTGTACATGTTCCACCAATAGTTTTCCTCTCCATTGCTCTATTATTACATATCATTGCAAAGCTCACTTTATGTACGTTCGCTACATATGATAGAACTGCAGTACAAATAATATTTTTGACAAATCTCAAAGGTTAGAGTTCCAGATTTCGAAGCAGAAAGATCTAGAAATCTACTTCTACGAATTCAAACTCGGAACCGTGTGGCCATTCGGCTCGAAACATTAATGAATAATAAGGCCAAGTGTGAACGAATGCATAGTCCAACGCTGATTTGGAAAACGTCATCGCGGCGAATCAGAAGTTCAACATGGGCAAGCTTTTTACAACCTTCCGCTCCAATTCTCAGACAACAAAATGTGGTCGAAGTCTAGTAGAAAATAGCCTTTACACTTTTGTGAATATATAATACATAAGCAAACTGTAAAAGACCCGTATGAGTAAGCAGCATAATTTCTTTCTTAACTCGTTGTCACGGAAAAGAATAGCTAAAAAACGCGCAAATCAACATAACAGCAAAGAAAAGAAAAACAGTCCGGCAACAAGGAAAAATGGCATACATGTAGGAAGAAATTTGTAGCTTTCGAAGGACCAGAGGTTGTAAATGAGGTGATTCATGAAAAACAACAAAGCAAAGACAAAAGTTCAACGATTAAAAAATAACGAGGAAGGGAGGAAAGCCATGTTCCAAAAGGCTTTAGATAGAAAATAAGAAAAAGAACAATCGATATGCATTATTCAGAATTTTATGTTGATAAAATCAAGATCACAAAGTGCGTTGAGCAAGCTACTACAAAAACAGAAACCGATCCAAACAAATGCCAGTACTTCATAGAAGACTTGCAGGAATGCAACGCTATCACTAATTTATAACTTACAGATACAATCGCAATGTTTAGCTAGTAAGCGACTAGCTAATATGTGCTGAAACTAGTGAGTAAAACAACCTATATGTGCTTGACAGCATGAAAAAACCAGTTGGTCTTTGTGGCCCATGAGCCGTTGAAAGCTTCATCGAACACTTCAGAGAAAAAGTTTCGTGCTTCAGCTGCCATTCCATTATGGAACGCAACTCGTAATGTGCTCTAGAACAACGTGGTTAGATCAAAACTCCCACTACCTCCTAGGCAACGAAGAAAGTTAAAAACCTATTTACGAAAAATAAATTCTCACTAAGAGATCAACAAACGGGTTAGTCGTCAGGTTATAGGACGACTCCGGTTGGCAGAAGGAGGATTAAATGAAAACCAAAAGCGGGTTTGAGACAAAAGTGGACACCCTGGTACACAGTGAATTGAAATAAACCTCACGTAAGTGACAGAAAGCGCTTGCGTATATGTGAATTGTATCCTGCACTTTAAACAATGCTGCAAGTAAGTTACTTGAAAACGGGAATTTGGTTAAGAGACATCTTCAATAGCTCCATGTCTACTACACAAAATGCAACTAAGTTATCCGTGGTGAGTACACAACTTCTTTGGGAGGGTACGGTAGAAAAACAAAACAGCATTACATCGAATGTGTAGGGAGAGACACTTGAAATTACTAAGGCGTTATAGATTGCGTAAATCCGAGACTACTGTGATGATTTGTACTTAATGGACCAACAAATTTTAGAATCGGAGTGCTCAGTGAAAACGTGGTGCAAACTAAAAGGATTAAGTACGGTGTCACTGGATAGTAGCTCAGAACAGAAGAGAACGTCCATTAAATAGTTTATAATCCTAGACAAGAACTTCTCGGCACATGTGATAGCAGAAAACTCAGCGGTGATGATGTCTTTACCAATATTAGCTTGGATATAAAGATCGATTCTTCTAAACTAGCGAACTAAGTATAGACGTATTTGCGTGAAAAAAGTGGATCATCAATATAGGCTTTCAGAGTATTTGTTCTTACGCTCCAATACCACATTATGACAATGACAAGCTTGAATTATTTCTTCATTGACGGTGATTTTATCGCCAAGGTTAGCCCTCATACAAGGTGCAAAAACTTCACATCGTGACTCGAATATCAAAACGATGAGGGATCCTCTTCAAATACTATGGCGTCAAAAACCTAACGGTAACTTACAGAAACCGTCTCTCAACGATGACGTAGTAGGATGGAGAAAAATAGAGGACAGAGCAGTTTTTAGTAAACTGACGATTTCGCATTTCGCTGTCTTCTCTAGTAAGAAATTTATCACTCTTCAGCGATATTTTCCTTCAGATAAAGAGGGGTTCGATAAGATGACACAAATTCGCGATAACTTTTCACAGTAAGGATGTTTGTGAAAACTAGAACAGCATGGGAATGAAATTCGTCGGCGAGCAACTATAACACCTTTGTTCATGATCTCTTGGTTACAACATCAAGTATTAGCGAGGAGGAACGAATGCTGGTCGATTACAAGGGCGTTTGTGAAAAAATTTCCAATTCGTTCAACTTTAAGAAAACAAATTCATGAAGTTGGAATTTCCGATTCTTTCTCTCTTTCTAATGCCTATCAAAGATTTGAGATTGCACCCGTCAAAAATTTGGCAACTGGATGGGCCTGGAACGTGATGTGTGATAACGACAATGGTGTTAAAGGGCTCCTAGTCCGTGGATCCAACGTGATCCAAGGCGTAACAAGAAGGACCATAGACCAAGTAGAGTCTTTTACGAAGGCGCTAAGAGCTCATTAAACTTCTGAACTTATTTAAGCGAGATGAGCACGTAGAGCAACTCAGATCACGGAGATAAATGGAGACATGAATAACATGCGGTCGAGCCACTCGAGCATTTCATTTGAAGCAGGTGATTTGGCCAAGTCAAGACAGCGTTTTCTTCCTTCGAGCTGCCACTCAGAAGTATAGAACTAACAAAAACGAAAGCTCTACTCTCTAAGAAAATCTCGATAACTAAACCTTTAAGTGGTCCAAATCGGAATCGGTCGACAACTCAGGCAATTCCATTGTTTGCATCACAGTGAAAAGTGAAAGAAAGAGATCGCGTTTCTCCCATAACATCATATAAGCATCACAACACAGCCTCTTAAATCTAAAGAAAAATAGGCTTAAACAACAAATTATTGTGATGAATAGAACAACTCTTCGTTGTTGGATTAGTAAGCTAAAGTGGGCTAGAAAAAAGTAGTCTCTTTTTTAATTTTTATGTCCTAGCTCTTGTTACTTTCACCTAAATAAGACCCTACGCACGTCGCTTATAAATGTAATTATTTTCAGCACAGCAGTTAAAAAATTACTCATATTTCAGTATTTCTTAACATGGTACAGTATGTAACACTTTTCAGAATACAAAATATTTCTTTATTAAGTCAAGCATTTAGGATCACAGCTCCGTTGCCTAACCGTACATAAAACCATCGAGCTTCAATACTTGGATTAACAAAATACTGCACTGGTAAGTACATATTTCAGCCACACTTACTTTGCAACCTCATGGCTATCCCTTGATACAGGTCGACCTTGTCCAATAACACAAAGGAAGTGTTCAGTGAGAACAAAGGGCACACGATCCCGCTTAATGCCTAGCTTAGTCTTTCCGTGGCCCAAAATATGACCAAAATCTATATGAAAAAGCTTCCCATCGTTTGTCATCATTATGTTGTCATTATGCCGATCCTAAAAAACATTTTAAAAATGTTAAAAGGAGATTAGATGTGTACGAGAAGAAAAAATATTTTTATCATCGGATTTGAACAGAAACTTACCATTATTCCCATAATAAAGGTAGCAACCGAATAACCAACGCAAGACATCAAAAATCTGTCAACACACTCCATGTACCTGGATATAATGACAAGCTTTCTTGTTCAGTTCGAAAAAGGCAAAAAACTAGCACTAGAACAAATGATTGATAACAGCACAATTTAATAACAACAGTTACAGTAATAATGACAATAAAAGTATAAATACAATGACAATAATAATAGATAACAATAAGCATAACAAAAATAATTTAATAGTAACGAAGATGAAAATAAATGAATAGTGGGCAAGTAAGGCACCCATAGTGATGACCTTCATCACCACACGGTTCCAGTCATACCCGCTCCAAATTTACCAACACTCCCAATATTCCGGGGTTAGGAGATTGGTGCCAAAAAAACATAACTCGAAAACAGTTCACTTCCTACGGCCCAAGTAGGAACGCTTACTTCGGCCATGTCCAAGATTGTAAGGAGAATCAATTCGACCAGAATTCAACGACTTTCATATAGAAGACGATGATCCTGAAAGAACAGCCGAACTGAGAAGTTCGAAGACTTTTGCGGATGGTGAATACCAGGAAACGAATCTAATGCAGGGGTTGCTGGGATCCAAGTAACAGACGTGAAGACGGGTCATGTTAAATAAAAAAGAAAGTGGAATAATTACAAAGGATAAAGGATGAAGGACAAAGCTCTAAGTGTTGATCAATCCCTGGGGATGTGGAATGCATATGACCTCACTAAACATTGCCTGGAGGTGACTGAATGCATATCTAGTCTTTACAATGACTCAAGTTGGTCTACCAATGTATCGAGCCAATGCTGCTATTCTCTCAGACAAATTTAGTACCCCGAGGGGATGGAGGGTTTGGTGGGCCATGGGCGCTGGGATCGATTTCACTTGTGTGTTGCAGGACTCCTCCGACCACTACGCCACACACGAAATTATGACAGCAACAATAACGTTAAAAATTTTAACTTTTTATTTACAGCGTACTACAATTTTCACGGCATGATATTGTGCGAAATCAACCACAATGATTCTGAGATACTTGCAAAACTCCAGACGGCAGGTCCCAGTAGTAGGAATCAAACACGCTGCTACCCATTCCGGGGCTGACGCATTCACCACCAATGATATATTTCAATTTTGCAAATATCGCAGCATCACTAAGGTTAATTTCGCATAATACCCTGTCGTGAAAATTGTAGTAGGTAGTAAATAAAAAGTTAACAAAATAGATTAACGATAGTAAAAAAAAAAAAGACAATACTAAATAACAAGAAATAATTAGTAATGGCAATGATGATGGAAATGACTACAACTACGGAAAATTTTGCAACTTTGTAGTTTCAAGATCAATGAGGAAACGCTAAGAACTAACTTCCTTGTAGAACCAGCATTGTTCTTTATATAGCGGTTAATGAATGTTGTTTCGAGCGATTTAACAGCCACTCCCACCTTACCACCCTCAGATTGAATTTCGAAGATGGTAGAACAGTTTGGTACAACACCAATCATACCATACTGTAAAGAATATTGTATTATACTATTAGAAAATTGCAAGTATTCACACTTAAAAATTCGATTTTTCTGGAAATTCGATATTTCGGAACACCAAGTGTGCTGTTTGGACCGTTCACGAATAAATTTGCTCAGAATAATCAGCATCAGTGAAACCGTGCAATATTGGAATACAGTGTATTCAACAGCCATTTCTAAGCTCATCAGAAATTCGTGGATGGATTCTTGATATCATTAATTTCAGCAATAGCGAAACCATACTTTGGTTCCCATAGGAAGAACAGGGTATATGCTTAAACAACAATTAAGCTGATTTCTTTTCCAAATACTGTCCATCACTTCCAGAACTTGCAACACCAACATATCCTGACGTAAATCTGGAATAGTTCAATATAACGTCCATATTTCCACTTCTTTCACAACAGAAGACCAAGGACTAACAAACCATCTCCATTCTTAAAGATGATTTCATATGTGGGAAGGTAATATTCAGAAAGAGGGCTACGATTTTGCCAAGAGAGCAGCAACGGCATCTTCGCACTACCTAACACTCGACATTTATCGATTCTAAATCATATATAGAAATAATTATTGTATTATTTAACTAGTGAATTACTCGAAGGGAAAAAGATGAGATGCAACAAACCGCAAGCAGCCAAGTGAATTCCCTGGATCGAGCGGGGAGTCAATTTTTTCCAAGCTTGGACAATGATTCCGTAGCTCTTCTCGTAGGCGCTAAAAGAGAGAAGTGCTTCGAATAAAAGAAAAACATAAGAACTTTCACTGCTTTCTTCCTTCATAATCTAATTTCTCTCGCAATTTTCAGAGAACTAGAATACAAAAAAAGGAGAACTTGTTGTTCAAGAAAGTGCTATCTTACAACGACAGCATATAAAATTTCCAAGAGTTGCTTCAATCGTTCACCGTCTAAACCTTCAAAGACCAACTTGTTCAACTATTTTGGCATTTCGAAATAGAAACGTCGACGAAAGACGCGAAGGTAAAGGTTTAGGGAACCAGTAAATCAGACATGGTAAAAGTAACAAAAATTGCATATTGTTGGCAAAAACTCATATACTTAATTTACTTTCAAATCAGTTAAAGCTCATTTCGAGCTGGGATCTGTTTATTTAAAGCGGAAAACTAGAACCACTTTCCGGATCACATTTTTTGGCGTATGTACTGTTTCAGACGATATCGCTTGATCGACTGGATTACAGGTGTAGCAGACTTCAAATATGTCATCTAAAACCTAGGCGGATATTCATAGAGATAGCTCACATACTCACCTCAGTTGCAGCATCCTTCTCACGAATTCCCTTGACAACAATACTCAGCCTGTTCAGAAGATCAACCATTTCGACCTGTACTGGAAAATCATATATTTTTGAGCCGAAAACAGAAACATGGCAAAAGAAAATACCTGTTTCAACACTGTTCGAATGTGCTCGTCATTTCCGCGCAGATATGCTTCTATCAAAAGAGCGAATCGTCTATACATTTCTGTTATATTGCCATCTGAATCTCTAAAATTGAACAGAAAATATGAGTTCGAAACTGAGAACATCGTGACAACATTTCCACAAACTGTAAACACACAGTAGGACGCGATTAATTTCCAATTTTGCGAATCTAATTTTTCGACAATCTAACAGGCAAATACGATTCCGTTCATATTTGAGAAGCAAACATCCCTATTCAATGACTTATAGTTGAAACTATTGATTGAATAAGATAATGTCAAAAAGTTAAAACTAACAACCTAACTAAAATGATGCTTAGATATTTCCAAAACTCCGGCTCGCAGGTGTCTGCGGTGGGGATCGAACACGATATTACCACTTCCGGTGGGTAACGCGTTCACCACCACACCATGCAGGTCCTTTGTTTCGCCTTTCTATTTTTTATATGTTACCTCAATGAATTCTACAAGAGATTTCAAGTCCGCTCTTTCAAGAACATTCTGCCACCAAATGCGAACGCTTCTATAGAGATTTTAGAAAATAAACTAAGAACTAAACTAAACGCCGTAGAATTAAACTAGAAATAAGGCAGAAAACTAAAAATGATATACACCTACTTTAGATTGGCCAATTCCGCTCTCAACAACCAAAAGAATTTGTGTCCAATTCGGTAGTCGTATAACGCTTTTTTCAAAAGCAAACATGACAGTGGAGTGTACGAGAACGCCTCGCATTTCAACGCCTAAAGCAACTTCTTCGGTAGCTAACCATAAGGGAAAAACGACGAGAAAAATGAGCAAGCAAACAATTAAAGGAAGGAAACTATTTGAATACTTGAATGAATGGAAGCATGAACAACGGAAAAGTTTGGTTATCGAGCGTAAGTTCCAACTGATTGACAGCAAACCGACGAATCATTGGGTCCATACATCTGTAAACAACAAACTTCTTATGACGTAGAAAATGCAAAAATATTGCCAAGCACTAATTCAAGTATTCTCACTTTTTGCCGAGAATACATAACGCCGTTCCAACAGTGAGCCGCCCCCAACTTTCTAGCATCACGTAGAGTTCGGTGAAGTGCTCACGCTTACGCCAAGTCACCTCAGATTCTGCTATGAGAAGAAGTGCATCCGGGATGTGTTCGCTGACATAATGCCTGTAACATACCGACTCACTTCGCCTCAAATGTAAGTAAATGGCCGCTCCGACTGTTTTTAAATGTTAGATTTCAATATCTTATAGAGAAGAAAACCAGCCTTCCCGTCTTTTCGACGTACAGAATAGTGAACAGTGGTTTGAAAAATTCAAGAAAAAAGCAAAGAAAAGTTGAAATTCATAAAGCATTCGTAAGGGATGGCGGCAATTCAACACATTCGTGACAATGCTCTTTCAAATAGTAATTTCCTAGAATACTGATTTAATGTCAAACTTCCAAAAAATCAGATCCATGGAAATAAAAAAAGAACGAGCTAAAATTTAAGGTCTTCTAATACGACTATGTGTTTTTCTAAACAAAATTCCTCTCGTTCAAATGCTTCGCTACCCGAGACAGGTTTTGACGCAAAAAAAAACGAAAGAACGTTTCGAGGCTCCAAAAATCATAATACCTTCGTGGTATAGTAATAAAATAAGTGTATTGTATACTGGTGACAATGATCTGTAGATTCTAATGATAGATGTGAACATACCTTTGGTTCCACACAAACAGTTCCTCCTCTGCAGATAGTACTCCACCCAGTAATCGCTTTCGTACAGCATCAAGCACTCTACTCACACTGAATTGATCACATTGCTGAAAATTTTAAAAAAGCATAGTAGTACGAACATGATTGCAAAAACTTGAAAGCGGACCATCCTCTGTGGCTTTTCAAGCGAGCGAATAAATCGCACAAAAGGAGCAAACTGGCTGCTTTCCGGCATTCGTACCCTTGGTGAACGATAACGGTTTAGCTCAATAACCAAACGACAATTTGAACCTGAACTATTTGAATCTCAATCATCACTTCTGTTACAAAATTAGTTTTCAAGAGAATTCGAACATCAACATACAACCAGAATTATATAATACTCTTAATTTTATAGCAATTTCAAACAGGTTTCTTTTATTTACCGAATTGTATGAATGTTTCCTTCAGCTATCGAAGTTAGCTGAACGTTTCAAAAAATGTACAATCTACTGTCGCTGTTTTTCATGACAACATACTCAAAATTACCGAGCTTTTTGTCGTTGTTTCCAATTCTACCATACGGCGGAATTTCTGGCTCTCCACCCCATAGGTTCAACGTCACTAAACCTTGTAGAAGCTCACCACGCCAATCAAGTAAACGTATATTCACCCATCCAAGAACGCGATCTTCTGGCTATAACATGGTTGTTAAGACAAAAAAGTTCCTGTAGAAAGCGAATCGCTGTAGTCGCTACTTTTCTCGAAAGTGCAAAAGTTATAGAACAAAATTTGTTCACTGATATTGCAAAAAAAGATAGTACCTTAATTAATATCACTACGGTCTAACTGTAACTACTAGCACCGGCCCTATTCCGAAAAGCATGTAAACACAAAAAAGCTATGGTAACCGGTACCTTTCCTTTCCTAATCTTCGTCTCCACCAAATGAACCGTAAGAATTGCTGCTGGTGGCAAATCCTTCATATACAAATCGAAAGATATCATTTCCTAAATGTTAAATAATAAACTGTTTAGAAGAGGGACTCTTCGCATTCAGGTGCCCATTGGAGCGTGAACTCAAAAAAACTGTTGCACATATGAACTTGTCTCGTGCTGAAATTGTGCTACCCATGAAATGCTTGAATGACACGAATTAAACAGCAATGTAAATAAACGAAGCAGTTGAGTAAAAAGAATAAAAAGATAAAGCTCCCATCTATCCTTGAGGGATGCACCATGCATTCGACTTCATCAAGCACCGTTAGAGGTTACGGAATGCATATCTCCTACCTTTACAACGACCCGCATTGGTCTACCGATGTATCGAGCCAGTGCTACTACCCTCCTAAACAAGTTTGGTACCAATTTGTCGACCTCGGGGATATGGTGAGTCTGAGTCGTGGGGACCGGTCCCATGTGTATTGTCGGGCGCCTCCGACCACTGCGTTATACACATCCGGCTGGGCAAAAGCAACAAAAAGGAATATAAACTTCAATTAACGTGATCATAAGGAATATATGAAACCGATTTCTCCCGTACAGAAATAAATATGATTTTAAAACAAATTTGATATTATGAGCATACGAAGTAAAGTGTTTAAAAAAGATCTAATTATAAAAGAACTTACATCTACCCAACGTGGATTATGGGTCGGCACTTTAGCTGAAGCTTTTCGGACTAATGAAGTTTTACCGCAGTATACCGTGAATTCAACACTAATCTAAAAAAAAGAAAATACTAAAGAGCACTGCAGTCGAAACGAAAGTGTTGGGTGCAAAGGCGAAACAGTCGATTTCACATTAACAGAACTCAAAATACTCTTCTATCCGACGGAATATGCTTGCTTCCACGACTCAATATCAATACTTCATTCAGTTTATAAACTGTTTTCTGTAAGCCTATTTTCACTCAACTAGCTAAGTGGATTGCTAATGGAATAGCAAGAACAAAAGGAAACATGAAATGAATATGAACAATGAACAGAATAAATAGCTAAAATAGACAGCCGTAGTTATTGAATTTGACAAATATATTCTATTCCTACATCTGAGTCCATATCGGATGTGCCCATATTACTACAGCTTAGTGGACGCATCGATAGATTCTCGTCCACGTCCCACAAAGTGATGCTCGCTTCGACACCTTCACTTCTAACTTCTGGAGCAGATGCATTACTGCTAATGCTCACCGTCTCGTTCTCGCTAGCAAGTCGACTCTCTTCGGCACGCACGTAGTTTGGCTGAAATGGTTTGTCTAATATTTCACTCACTAAAATATAGGCTTTTCTTTAGTAAGGACCAAGGAATTTGAAAACTTCATTAAGGATTCCCAAGACCGACTTTCTATTAACTTCGGCACTGATTGGTAATTCGATGTTTTTCTTTAATAAACAGACATGAGGTTGGTACTATAGAACTTATTAGAATACAATAGCTGACGTTTCGGCGGTTTCGCCTTCTTCCGTCTTCAGTCCCCGCCTATTTATTACTCCGTGCGGCTGCTATCCATCAAGTAATTGAAATATAACGAATAAACGGCTCTGAAGAAGGCGAAACCGCCGAAACGTCATCTATTATATTCTGATCAATTCTGTAATACCACCCTCTTGTCTGCTTATTGAAGAAAAACATCGATTTATTAAGGATATTATTATGCAAGGTTTTATGAGCTAAAAATACTTAAACTGGTTGTACATTCATTTTGCTACAAATTGTTGACTCACAACTTGGCATAACTATACCTTATGAATAGGTCTTGGTTTCACGTAATCCAATAACACTATGCTTTTACGGCGAAGGACAAATCGTGGACTTCTATAGTTATCGAACGCTGAACGCACATCCTAAATGACATACCTCTAAGAAATCGACTGTAATGCAGCACAGAATAACAGTGTCAACTAACACTATAGGTTATTAGAAGTTTGTCACTTTTCGTTAAAAAGCTCTTTTGTCCAACAAATTGCAGTAAGTATCCATCATCACTTTCCTCGTCCTTAATATAAGATGATTTCCATGAATACATATAAATCACCAACATTTAACAAGGACTACAAAATCCAAGTTCGAATTAGAGTATTTTAGCGGATAAATTTCCCACAAAAGAAATCATCCGATGTTTATACAAGCTGGTCACTAAGGAAGTTGCTCTAACCAAATTGAAAGCATGCTGTGTGGAAACGTGAACCACATATAGGGGATACACATCATAAGTTACAACAAAGATCTTTTTATATCAGTATAAATGTATATCAGTATACCCTTCCAGGCTATGAAGAAGGCGATACTGCCGAAACGTCAGCTAGCGTTGTATTCTATTGTTTTTCTATGGAAGTAAATGTATGCTGGTTAAAAACCTCGCGATTGCTGAACAAGAAAACGACACATTCATATTCCAATGCCGAGGTTAAGAGAAAGTCGATCCTGGGAACTATTAAAAGATTTTTTTATTGAGAAATGAAGCACCTCGGCCAACTGTGCGGTGTTCGAGCGTGGTCCAGACCCACTAAGGGCAGACACATTGATGTTCTTGTAAAAGCAAGATATCCTGAATACTCAGAAGGCTTTTTATCAGTGTTAGAAATGGCTTTAAATCACACCATTATACATTCTTCGAAGGAACTTTAGAGGACTTATGCCATAATCTACAAATTTAGATAACATAATATCCACACGTTAACAATATAATATCAATCATCAATATCAATAAACAATATCAATACAATATACAATATAATATTCACGTTTCCATCAGGAAGCATAGCTAAGAGTAAACCTATACAAGGGTCCTGGTATTAAAGTCGCAAGGTGGCAAATCTCCCTCTGATCCACAAGGGCTGCGACTGCCTGTGGTGGTGAAGACCTGGGTCAGATCTTGGCCAGGCTGACCTCGGGGTTCCAGAGAACCACAATGGATTAAGCAGAAGATCTCCGAAAAATGGAGACAATGCTGGGGCCCGCACAACCAGCTAGGACAGGCCATTCAAGTTCCCAGTATCAAGTAATATCCACACGACTAAAAGCAAGATCCTGCATTGAAGATTAGAAAATAAACCTTGATGTGTCCAGAGCGTTTAAGGTCGCGTACTATCCTTGCCACCAGTGATGCTGGAGTCATGTCCGGTACGAAATCTACCACTGCCTTTGCTGCACCATGATCCACATTCTCTTTCTCATCTTCTAATGTTCGAAAAAACACTTGATAGTTCAAATTCGCTGCTGGAAATCAAAACACTTCATTACACTTCACCAGCAATAAAAAGATACTTGAATACAAAGCACCCAAAGTTTTACCAATTTATTACGGCTGCGAAGTGTCTGTAGTTGCCGAAGCATGACGTACAAAGGTGGTTCATCCACCAACAGGTTCACCCGAGATGAGGATGCCGATGTTTGGATGTAAGAGCCCATTTAACGATAAAAAAATGGATGAAAACATCGGTGCTTTGACAAAAACCTATACGCAACGTGGCATTCCAATATGCAAGGATTGATGACTACATGTGGAGACAATAATGACTTCAGCCAACAACAAAACGTCCTTATTGTCGGGACGAGAGGCATTTCCATCTACGACATCAGGCTGAGAGATAACTGATGACAAATGGGTGTATGAAATATGTTTTTGAGGTTGAAATGAACATGAATATCAAATAAAAATGAATATTGAGATCATCAAACATAAGGTTGCCTGATGTCATTACAACTATAGTTCAGAAAGCACGCCCATGAAATGTTATAGAAGTTCCTGCACCTACAACATCAGAACAGGCATCTCCACCACTCTCAACATCTACCTTAACACTCTTCTTGAGTGTCACATGATCAGCCTATAAGAGTTAAGAAACAAGAAACGCCAATTAAATGCCAAATCCGTACACCAAACGTTGATTAGATGACAGGATAGAGACTTTGTCATACATCGCTCCATGCTCATTTCATCGACTGAGACAAGATCCTACTACCTTACTTGGCCATCCTTCAACCTATGTATCAAAACAGGTCAGGTACTATGAACTGCTGCTCACAAACCAGTGCAGCTCATAACAGCGAGTGGGCGCAGTTGATGACAGAGACTATGTTCTACACTGAAGGATGAAGAACCTAGGACCATCAGAATCGACTCGACTAGTATTCAACGAAATTCATCGAAAAGACGACCATTCTCAAGTAGCAGCCGAACCCATATGGAAACCTGAATAACTTCGTGGAATATAGATGCCAGACACGAATTGAATGCAACATATTGCTCAGGATAGGCAAGAAAAAGTGATACCAGATAGAAAAGTTCGAAAAAAAAATCGCCGCATTGCAACTGTTTACTGGAACGACTTACTCAAAGATTATTCGCATCGTCAACGAGATAAGTTTCCCCTTGACTTCACTACTGTCTCACATCCCAAATTGGCTCCGACCACCACCTCCTTCGTGAAAAGATTCTAAACTGGATCAAAAACGTCACAATAGCTAAGAAAGAAAAATGCAAGTTGTGTATGCCAAAAACATTCTGGATGAAACCGACTGCCCATATGACTTGCAAGTTAAATCACACCCAGACAGTAGATAATCACTTGCTCGTCAACGGAGTCAAGAGCTATGTTAAGTACGCCACGATTCATTAGTCGAAATGTTTAGATCAGATCTCGATCAATAGAGAACCGAAGAGAAAAGAACTTAGGCTAGATCAGACTGCGGCACATCTAGCATTGGTAATAATAAATGCAAGCTGCAGATCTTTGCGAAAGTAACAATGGCAAACGCAAAAAAATTTTTAGAGGCTTGAAAGGAACCAGTCAAGGGCGAGGTTTAGACTATTCCCATCCTTCAGACAAACTTCCCTATTTGAAATAAGTAACCAGAATAAATTTAAAAATAAAATAATACTATGAATACTTCCTTCTGTTGTTTGAAATTCGATATTTGTAGTACTGCCCCAAATAACATCGTAAACAATCCTTTTGGAGCTAGAAGTCACGACCTACGTATATCACTCGCAAAGCTTATCACTGTAGATCACCAAAAAAAGACGCTTAATAATATCAGAAGCCGAAGAAGGTATTTACTGCTCAATTTATAGCACTTGCTCAATTATCTTAAATTTCCTTCACGAAGAAGACACTCCTGCATCCATCAATGAATACTGGTGGAGCTGAAGAATCAAGCCTTATAACTTCGTGTAGATGAAAAATCATTTGTATGAAACACAGGCGTGAATGAGAATAAGTCGAAATGAATGACTCATTGGATATAGTGATGATTCATGTACCATTTCAAGATATTCGCAGACGTCACCGTTTTGGAAACAATGGAAGGAGAAAAACAAAAAGTGCCTTAAAGTGAGCGGGACTCGTAAACAGAGACCATTTGAGTATTTTAGTAAGTTGATGAATATAAGAGGCAAAACACCCAACTAACATTTTATTTTAGCTATAAGTGCATGTGGACAAGGTTGTGCAACGTCCAAAATTACTCCTTCTGGAAAGGCATAGTGACTGTAACCTTCACTACCTAAAACAAATGGAGTAAAGATCGTTCCTTCACCTACTTAAACACTTGGCACAAATATGAGGTAACAATAATAACTAACCTCTAGTGTTCACTGCATCACACGTATCCTTGAAAAGTGCAGCGCGGCAAGTCTTCATTTCATCGGTTAATTCCATCTCAAGGTCATCAAGAGAGTATCCAAGCACTTGTCCTGAGAACAATTAATCACGAAAGTCGCAAAACAGGGAAAGTCCTAGGTCATATCTATTTACTGAATTGTCTACATCATTAAAGAATAAAGAGGATGACAAAACTGACCTATAACTTGAGCTAAGTCACGCTCGTGGCGAAAGCTCTCAGGCTCGAAAAGAGATAAAATAGGGTAGGGCTTAGAAAAGTCAATTTTAGACAGTAGCATCTGAATGTTTTCACATATCATGGACGTCAGGAAACCAACATATTTTGAACAGATAGAAAAGAGACATAGCAGACCTCTTCGTTGTACAATTCTTCCATTTCACCTGTAGATTCCCGCAATGCTTGAAATACGTAATCCGTAGCTTTCATTGAGAACTGCGACACTGCCATCCTCGAAACGGAAAATTGACTTCGAAATTCTAAAAGACATGGGAATTAGAGAACAAACCTTTTCAATTTATCGAACAGCTCGGTTTTCAAGTCGCTTAAACTGAAATCGAACCCACAACAAACAGCGACTTGAATCCAAGGTAGCAAAACCTGAAGCAGAATTTTCATCAAAAACCGTAAATTTCGTTTGGTCCCAGAAGAACAACCTATCTATGCAAATAACAAACCGTAAGACATTTTCTCTCTCCTAAACCACCCAACTCTACACAGCTGACATGATCCGATGATGAAGAGCAAAGATAGGATGGATTCGTATAATCCACATCGAATATCACTCTAAAAAAACATAGAACTACTTTACAAATAAGCTAATGTAACCGACTAGATGGCCTATATTATCTAAACATCCCTATTATTTTCCAACCTCAAGATTCTAGAATTCTTGTCTAATAAATGACCTGGACAAGACAATACTAAAGAAACTTTGTTACAAAACCCTTGTCTGTTCGTTATACTTCCCAACGCTGTTTTCACATAGACACATAGTTCTTACGCAAAAACGTTTACCAAGAAAGCTCAAAACACTGTTTTCGTCAAAATCATGAGGAAATGAACAGTTTTCATATGGTAACACAAAACAGTTGACCTCCCAACGGTTCACCGCCTAATCGTGGCTGAAAGGCTTTCCTGGGTGACGGACTGCGATGTACAGCAGGGGAATTCATAACCCCCGCAGAGTTTCCCAAGCTGGGAAGGCGTCTGCCCCCCCCCCCCCCCCCCCCTGCCATAAGAGAGTGCAGTCAGCAGTAAACTAATACCTGAATCCATTACCGTCCTGGTACCAAACAAGTCACATGGTGGCAAATCTCCCTTTGATCAAGCGGGTACTGCCTGTGATGGTGATGATTTGAGGTGGACTTTGGCCAGGTTGACCTCGACTCCAGGAAACCACAACCGCTAAACCAGCAAAACTCCAAAAAATGGAGATTGTGCAGGAGCCCACACAACCAGTGAGGAAGGGCCATCCAAGCATCCAGGTAAGCAATACTAAATAGTGAGCGAACTTGCCCGACTACAGAGCGTACGCACTTATTCTAAAGCATTTTTATTCTAACTTTCGACTTTTCACTTTGCCAGAAAGAGATCCTGTCCTGTACTTTCCGCATTCGGTCGATATATTATCCAACAGATACTACACGAGGTAGAGCGCATGAAAAACTACTCCCTTCACATAATGATTTACAAAAACATCTTTTGCACAAATTCTTCTTTACAGTTAAGAGATTGTTCACAGTGGAGGGTACTATGATATTTCCCATCATACATATACAGTGTAAGACGACGACCAAAGGTAAAAAACGCTGTGGTTGGACTGCTGGTGAGCCTTATTAGTCATACTCAAGAGCTAAAAAAAATGGAACGATTCACAAAACAATATGAAGCGCACGTAGAACAAGAAATTAGCGAGGGAAGAAAAGAAAAAATACGCTAGAAATGGAACTGTAGTACGGAAAACACAAAAAGGGGCCTGGTCGACATTAGGGGAGGAAGGACAGGTTGGATTGCACGCTTGGGGTCAGCACAAAATGCCCAAAGCGAAAAATGACGCATAGTTCAACATGGCTGTCACCCACGACAAGCGACTCGCATATGTTTTGTGGTGTCTGTGCACATTTCCAGACACACAGACAACTTAATAAAAATTTACGGAAAATTTGGACTGACTCATAAAAAAACCCGCCCGACAGGAGTCTGGTGTGCAAAAGCTATATTTTGAAGATCAGATAAACTCCCACTTTTTTCTTTCCGCCCATTCTTCATGGAGACCATGTAAAGTGCGGTGTATGGTCTCTATACGAGTTATGCGACCTTCAGGCAGCTGACTGGAACTTTTTCGTGGTTCCACTGCTTTGCACTCACTGCGTGTACCGGAAGGACCTGGCAAATCGTCACTGGCTGAGTCAGGCGTGACCACTGAAGAACCACTCATGCCAGATCGGAGCAGTGATGCACAGACTCAGCGCATCCCAGAGGAGAATCTACAAACATTAGAAATCCTTCGAAATTAAACTACAACACCATTAATACAGTTATAAATAAAGTGAATGTGATAAGAAACGTTAAAGTGATGTGAGAAAGCCTTAAAAACTAATCGACTATTATTTACAACGTTAGGATTCAGATGTCATAGAGTTCACAGGGCTGCACGAAAGTGAGAAGTGTCTTGATGAAAACCGATAAACGTGATGAAGCATACCAACGACTGGGCGCGGTTCCAATAGTATGAAAAACTTTAGCAATAATAATTCATTCGATACCAATCAAAGAAAGTATTCCCTAAGAGATCAAATTGAGGCACAAAAATAGTTAAATGCACAACTATGAACCATGTGTTCTAAACGACAAACAATTAAAATTTAAAAAAAAAACAAGAATTCCTAGAGCTGAGGAAGATGTAACACCGAGCAGACTTCGTCTGGTAGCCCTAAGGTCGAGGTTGCTGCGTACCAGGCCGCGATAACTGTGCTGTACTATGTGCGGACGATGTTGCCGACGTCGATCTTCCCAGATTAACTTTTAAACCCTCACCGACCATCGTCGCACGTACAAGACGAATAGTCTCCTCTTTATTGTATGTTGCCTGAAAACAAAAACAGAGAAGTTCACAATGAAAGAAGACTGGCTCCGCATATCTAAGATAAAAAGACTACATAAGTAAGAACCGGAAGGTGATCACCAGCGAAACTGTGTTCACAGATTTTAATATTGCCAAATCAACACTTGTTTTATGGCAAATTCGAACATTCTCAAAATCGATGACTTGTATAAGTAGAGAGATATAAGTTAATTAAAACCGGAAAAAAGCTCTTTAGAATGTTAAAAACGCATTAGCACTTCCGCGACGATGTGACCTCTATACCAGGTACGGGATGGGAAAATAATGACCATCTTCAACTATAAATGAACATGTCTCAGCCAGCTGCGGATTTTTTTTATTCCATAGAAAACAATAGAAGCTATTATAATGTTGTCATTTTTTACTTACTGCCTACTCTTCTTTTTAATCGCAAGGTAACTTTTTATTTTATTTGATCCATTTTCATGTCTACTGTGCGGATCCCAGGACTTCCCACATTTGATTCGTTTCCTAGCATTCATTGTCAATGAAGATCTTCCAACTTTTACTGTGACTTCGGTTGCTGGTTGAGGATTTTCATTTCACCTTGGATGTCCTAGAATGCTGGTCGAGCAATTCTCCCTGGAGTCTTGAGATAGCCCGCCTCGAGCTTTCCCAATTGGATTGCAAATAGTGATTTTTTCGCACATAAGTCCGATACCAATTTCCCAGTCCCGGATGGATGACAGCTTTGTTGGCCCGAAGCGGAAACGAACTAGCACCATGCTCTTGATGACGGACATCACCACCACTGTATCCACCCCCTAATGGTAGGGCATTATATAAAATGTAAAACCATAACGCTGAGATATTTGCAAAACTCAAAAAAAATCGAGATAGCAATTGCTGATAGAACCTAAAGGTCAGTAACACAGCTGAGAAAAAAGAGAAACGAAGGACTCGCATGGTGTGGTGGTGAACGTGTTAGCCTCCGGAAAGGATTATAGCGTGTTTGGTCACGACCCAAGACACCAACGTTCCGGAGTTTTGCAATTATGTCAGCATCATTAAAAGTCATTTCAATCTAAAAATCCTTGCCTACACAACAAAGGGTCTTTTGTTTTACCACCGTGAAATTCTGATCTTATGACACTCACAATATTTGTTTCTTCCACTTTGTTGTTTCAAGGTTTCTATTTCTAAGGCAAAAGTAGATAAACCCGCGAAATTCCGTTTAGAAGAACACGATGGTGTTCTCCAATGTATCGTCCAAGTTTGGAGCAGCACGTCCACTGTTATAAATTTTAGAACTTAAATTTCATTGCTACTTTTCCAAAGTTTTAGTCCTAAACATTTAAATTTGAAAGGGCACTGCATAAAAATTGGTATGCAATAAAAACGAAGCAAAATTTCTTCTATAAATCTATAAAGTTTTGAACTCCTGAAATGCTGTAGAAATTGAGAAATTATCGTAGAAAGATCAGCTTAACCGTGAAAGGGATAAGCATTTAACTTCTAAATATAGATAAAGTTCATAAGTGCGCTAAGAGCAATACTCAAGTGCTTTCGTAAAGAACGATCGCGAGTACCGCCGCAGTACGTCAAGGCTATAAGGACTAATAAATTGTTTCAAATTAAAAAAAGAATTTATGTATACTCTTCAAATGTAGCCGTCGGAAAAACTTGTGACTATGCACTCTAAACTTTGTGAAAAGAAGAAGTAAAAGTTGTTAAAATATCGAACTTTCTCAGTGAGATTCTCATTGTGAGCACGATCAGACGAGTGCAGACTCTGCAGTAGTAGGTCCACATATTTGTTGAGATGTGTGATCTGCTTACTGATCACATCTTGTCCTGAAAAGAAGGCTAAAAAGTATTCATTCGCTGCATCTACAAAAACTGCTCCTAACTTCACCCCAACGAAAAACAGAATTACGTCATAGTACCAATACAACTTACCCTTTTGATTTCTATCTTGTTCCAATAAGAGTTCTTCAGATTCCATATCTGGATTTAATTTGGTGCGGAGATAATCTGGTACGACGTCATGGTTCCACGAGTGCACACGATAAGATGTCAGTGCCTACATGATCGTTTAAAAAGAGTTTTAAAAAAGAAATGAAACGCAAAATAAACCAGTGGGCACAATTTATTCTAAATAAGAAACGTAAATAAAATAAAGGAAAAACAATTAGATTCTCGGTAGTAATACAACTTGAACTGTCACAGTAGTGGTCGACTTTTTAACTTTGTAGTCACTTCTAATTTGGTATCTGCAATTAACCGCAGAGAGTTACATGGTAATTTGCTATGTTCGATCTTTGGTAGGGAAATTTATTAACGATGGACGGTCCATCAACATCACGAAAGTATACTGGATCTAAAAGTCGAGGTCCAACGAACAACAGCTTCGGCACAGGTTGGTACTGCATTGCGCTTCCATATAAGTTTTATAGAAAAAATAAGAAGCTCACCTAAAAGCAGAATTTTAGCTCACCTGTAACTGAGCGTCCGGCTCAAGTTGAAGACGTTGTGGGACAAGCACATGACTTCGTAGAAGTGCACCATGATCTTCATGACCTTAAATTTTTCTCCTCAACATTAAGTCAGTGTCACCATAAGGATACATCAACGATGAAAACAACACGAAGGTTTACCTGACTGTATGGCGCTCTTTTTAAGAGCACCTTGAAGCTGTGAGAGAGCAGAAGCTAGAGAAGAGAATTTATCCAGCATAGCCGGCCTAACAAAAATCATTACAACTTTGTTAAGCGTAGTCCTGAGTCGAGTTGGTTTTTAAACAACTGTCAGTAATTTTTTGATGACCAGAATGCCTAGGCAATTGAGTCCTTCACAGATTTCCAACAGAATTTGCGCTACTCCATTGGCCAAAATATGTTAAGCGTATCACTTTTCAATACTTTCAAACATTCGCCTTTCAATCCAAATATCTCATCTACAACAAAAAGTGTAGGACATGAAGTCGAGATGGAGAGTAAAATTATGGAGAAATAAACGAGGAACTGAATAATGAGATGTGCCATTAAACGTAAACAGTGGAAGAGTTCGATATAAATGCAAAATTGTTGGGGTCTTAAATGAGAGATAATAATGTCCTGAATAGACATTAGATTTTCGTTAAATAGTTCTTAGATCGACTACCGGAATGAAATTAATTTAAACAAAACAACAAGATAACAATCTCGAAAAAATTGTCAGAATGGCACGGTACCTAAGCATACAAAAAAGCAAACCTCAAAAACCATTTTGCTGTTTGAAATTTAAATAGAGAATAAACTATATTAATAACGTTTTCGATAGAGTGTGAACGCACCAAGGTACCTTCTCTTGCATATCAAGCATATACAGCAATTCCTCGATAAGTTTCTTCGCTTCTAGAACTTTGACTTCCAAGTAGCAAATAGCAGTGTTCATCTAAAACGATGGCTTGGAAAACTATACTCTAACAAGAGAACATAACCAACCATTATTATTTTCATAATGATGCTGAGATATCTGCAATAGTCATGACCGCTGGTGCATGCGGTGGGGAACGAACACCGTTACTACCCTTTCCGGAAACTAACTCGTTCACCACCACATTAAGCGAGCCCTTCGTTTCGCCTTTCTCCTAGCCGACTATTGACCTATACGCGCTATCAGCAATAACCCGTCAACGGGATTGATATGGGGAGCACAAATCGGCATTGGACCCAATGAAGCTGAAGCCGTGGTATAAATCACAATGTCGTCACTTCTTATTTACTGCTTACTACTTTTTTAATGGCAGGTTATTACGTGGATTACATATTTGTTGTTATAGTTACAATTCATATAATACCCTTCCATTAAAAAAGAGTAGGCAGTAAATAAGAAGTAACGGCAGTATTATTTCACTTCACTTTACTTGATCCACCATCACACCTCTCGTGCGGATAGAAGAAAACTCAACCAAAACCAAGAAAAACAACCTTTTCGGGATCATTCTGATAGTTGGATGCTTGTGGCATTGGAAACGACGGCGAGATATTCATCTGTTATGGAGCACAAATTATTTAACAAAACAAAAATCGATTAAAAACAATACGAGTTCCACTACTGAACCGATATTATTCCCGAAAAAATGTATATCTTTAAAGCTTTACTCGAGTATTAAAAAAACATAGTTAAAGCAAAATGTCACTATGATCCACTCTGAAAAAATAACGACCACTTAGACAAATAATTGTTAACGAAAGGTAATGGAATACTATAGAGGGAAACAAGAGATCCAACCACACTCGAAATAGTGCTGCGAAAAGCAGTGGAAAACTGTACGGAGAAAGGATATGAAAGACAGAAAAATCCCACTAGAAAACTAGCGCTAAACGATTTATCAGTCACTTCTTGAGCCGAAGAGCACTTTGTAGTTTCTCGCGCTGTTTCATACGTCTCTCTTCTTCCTGTCTAATGAAGTCTTCTTGGTCGAAAGACAATGGGATAAGGTTGGAATATTGAGCAGCATTAACGTTGACAGCAGCCGCTGCAACCTTAAATAAACATAAATACAGAAAAACTGGATTAATTAGAAAGCTGAGCAAGAATGAAACGTCACCATAATGAAAAGGAAATTCACAAACGTTAACTTGAAAGGAAATCAACTGATTTTAAAATGTAGGAAATCAGAAAAAAGAACAAGCACAAAAGAATTTACCTGTTTCAAGGCTTCCCTCTCAATAAGTTCCTGATTTTCTCGCATTAGCTGCTCCACAATGGCTTCTGTTACAGGAGAAATCGGCCTAGCACTTTGAGATACTCCATTTCTTTCGTTCATAAGTCCTGAATTTCAAAATAAACAGCTAAGTAGGAAAATTATGACCCAAGGAAAAAAACTAGAATAAAATGCCACAAACATAACGTGCCACTTTACCTACACGTTTATATTTGTTTCGACATAATCCAAAGTACCTCCTAACGGTTCACCGCCTCATCGTGGTCCGGACGTCTTCCTGGATGTCGTGCTGCGATGTACAGCGGGAGGATTCATTCACTCGGCAGGGTTTCCCAAGCTGAAAGTTCGGCGCTTTCATCAGGAAGTCCAGCCCAGCTAGGAGTAAGCCAAAACGAGGATCCACGACCATCCTGGTATCAAACTAGTGGCATTGTGGCAAATTTCCCTCTTACCCACAAGGACTGCGACTGCCTGTGGTGGTCACGACATGGGGCAGACTTTGGCTAGACTGACATCAGGACTCCAGAGAACCACAATAGCTAAACCAGCATAACTTCGAAGAAATGGAAATTATGATGAGGCGCACACAAATTGTGAAGACGGACCATACAAGTATACAAATACTCCAAAACAACCAGAATTAGCACCATTAGTGCTTGGATAATTCAAATCCTGTTTGTACCACATTATTACGATTGTATATCTTCCTTATACTGACAAAATCTTTGCGAACTGAAAATCTGAATTGGTTGCCATCCTTGAGAATCCTTACTACACCACCTCTCAGCAACATACTACGTTTTCTGTTATATCAGCTCTTGTAGCATAACCATGCATAAATATCGATTTGGAAAATAACACTAATTTTTACCCATCAACTTCAAATAGACATCTCTCAATTCACTGAAAACCTTATTAATCGAAGGGAAGCAATTTAACCTAAAACAGCTACTATAGAACCATATAGAAAAGAAATAGAATCCACATCTCTTTGCATACATGGCAGAAGTTCATTTATTTCGTAGCAAAATTACCAGCATTTGAAACCGAGGAGCCTTCAGCAACCATTTTCAATAACAACAACAACAACAACAACAACAACAACGGTTGTTACCTAGGTGCTTGAACAACTAACACCTGTATCTGAAGAACAGACAGAACAAGGGTTTCTTGTCCAGATTCCTACTACTTTTAAAGTTTCGGTGATAAGACGATCCGTATGGGGTTTCTATGTAATAGAATTGGCCACCTTCACCTGACCAGTTCTGACAGCAGACGTTGCAGTTCTTCCCACATCCTGCTGATTTCCCTAGTATATTGCCCATATTCAAGTTTCAATGGACATTTTTACTTTCAAATCATAGAAGAATCGGCTACTTTTTTCGTGGATTCAATCTTATAGAACCGTTTCGGTACTGTGTCCTGTTCAAGGCTAAACAGAAGGTTGTTGACTGCTGTCTCCTTTTCCGGTTTTCCTGTTTTTATCTAAAATGTTCTAAAAAAACAAAGGCGAAAATGTTTCCGCAAAGAAACCTTACTAACCTACTGGCTTGGTTTCCCTAACAATAACACTAACACATAGTGAAGGGGACAAAAAACGCAAGCCCTGTGTTCCATACGGTTTAAAAAAACGATTTTCCACATGCTATCGACATTAACTTCAGTATTAAGGAAATTTTTATAAATGAATAAGCATACATAAATAATGAAACAACTAACGATATAACAAATTCGTGACAAAATATTCACCTTGCGAAGAAGGACGAGTTGAGTCGGTTTCAAGCCAATCTTTATAGAAGTTCTCAGGCAACGGAGTTGGAATATCTTTATTGGGATAGAGGTAGTCTTCTTGACCACCAAATCGTACTGTCATAACCACCTGATAAGGAAACGCCTGTATGACACTTGATAAAGATGAAAGCCATAGGAATACATGGAAGAAACTCGACACGATTTCGATCTTATGAAGAAAGTTACGCAGTTGAAAGGAATAGTGAAGACAAAACCTTCATCGAAATTACTACACCCATTTTCGTCACTTCTATAATAAACTCGTATTTTAAAACGATTAGAAATTATTTTAGAAAGGAAGAAGGACGAACAAGTGAGAAATCGTGAGAATGGTTAAACGGAAAACTTCTAAAACTGAGAGAAAACATGGATGAGTGAGCCCTGGACACATTACTAGTAGACAGGCAGTAAAAGTAAGACTCTAAGATCTAAGAGGCTCTATGACCTAAAGCTCCAAAGCAAGAAGGAAGTAGAAAATGCGATGGTGAAAAGAAATCGCGGGAAAACCGTAGCCCAGTCTGTACGTAATTTTACGTACCTTTATTATTTTCAACTTGTCAAAAATATGTGTATTTTATTTAATATTTATGTTTTGTTAGATTTTTACAACTGTTCCACATATTCCCTTGAAAGTGTGAACCAGAAAATATATGATTTTTGGATGACACGGTAAAAAGGTTGTGTCATAAGCGAAATCTTTCCACTAATTGCAGTGTATTGTTGAACACTTTCTATATGAGCAATACCGTAATCACCCATAAAAACGATTCAGTTGGAAAATTTCAAGACTAGAGTGTAGACAGTTTATAACGATAGGAAATTTCAAGAACGTATAGTAAATTCGACGCATTTACTGAATTTTCCCTAGTTTATCTGTTTACAAAGGGCTCGTTACGTAGCGCAGTGTTCAGAGGCGCTATGCAATACATACGGGGTCGATCCCAGTTCCCCACGCTCACCAAGCTCTCCACCCCTCCGAGGTCGCAAATTGGTACCAGTCTTCGCTGTGATGATATTAGCGATGACTTAATACATCGGTAGGAGGCCACCGCAAATCTTTGTATAGGCCAGATATGCATTCAGTCACCCCTAACGATGCTAAATGACATTGAATGCATGAACAATCACTCAAGGATTGATCAACATAAAAGGTTTGCCCTTTGTCCTCTTTAATAATTATTTCTATCCAAGTCGTTGGTCCATTGATTCCATTCTTCAAACCTTCTCATGGGATCACTCTTAGTCGCGATATCGTTTAGATTCACCTTACAGAAAGTATTACGTCTCATCTTCGTAGACTGATGTTGAAGCGTAGAGGGTGAACACTGTTAAAGCCAACATTTATGTTTTTTAAACCGCCAATGTTCCATTTGGGTCGATCGTTCACAAGAAATACTCGATACTCATGGCGAAGCTCTTCATGAGGACCGTGGCATTCTTTGCGTCCTATTGAACTTGATCAGGTCGGTAGTTGCTGTTCAACCAAACTTGCACCATCATATCCTGAATACAAAGCTTCGATGTGAACGTACATACCTATGGACATGTAATGATTGCTACCGCTGTTTATACAAACTTTAGCGGTTTAATAACACCTTTGGATTCTAGTAACATCTACGTACTTGTTCTTTTGTCATCGCATTGGAAGCTGCTTCTGCATCAGAGTAATGAGATTTTTTTCAAAATTGGTTTTGGCGTTGTGTGCCTATGGATGGATTGGGCAGCTCTGCTTAATGAGCAGCGTATAGTCATGGATAGCATCTGGCGCACTCCCAAACCTCATACTGAGCTTTTTATTGAAGATATTCTAGAATACTTCAAATGAATATCTTGTGCTTAGTTCATGTTTTGTTGAGTGATCAAGTAAGATGTAATGCATATCATCTGCAAACAACACCTTGCGCGAATGCATGAATGTCTGTTTCCCCATGAAAGGCTTAATTCATGCCCGCGAAGATGGAAAAGGAGCCCAGGATAGAGCAGTATTAGCTCTTATGAATAGCTCATATTTGTTCAGTAATGTCAGATCTTCTCACTGCAGTAAATTCCAAGTAAAATGAAGTGCACTTCCAATTGCCTCAGACATTCAGCCTTTGTCATATGCAAAATACGATGCCGGTTGCTCCATCCAGTAATGTAAAACCGTCACTGCAGCAACGAATTGTTTGGTTTCAGGAACTGAAATGACTTTTTCTACGGTTCTGCTTATTCAATAACGATTCGTTCCATGAAGAACTCATATTTTTAGTGAATCCACTCGAAGAATTGTTTTCCATTGAGTGAAAAGATGTGATGCGGACTGAGCGTGATAGTGTGATGCAGATGGTCATTTCATAGTACAGGAAGAGAGATAAGAAGGAAGTGGTTCAGTGATTAAAGAATAAAAGGATAAGGCCTTGAGCAGTCCCTGAAGTGTGAGCCATGACTTCGTTAGGCATCCTTACAGGTGACTGAATGAATATCTGCCCTATAGACGACTTGTAGTCGTATACCAATGTGTTAAGTGCTACTATCGTCCAAGACAATTCTAGTATCAATTTTCTAATCCTAGAGAGACGGAACGCTTGGTGAAATCGAAGCGCGGGATCGAAGCCAAGGATGCGTTTGTGTTGCGGGGTACTTCAACCACTACGCTACGTGTACGCGTTTAGTGGTTATGGTCTTCTAATTTATATTATAATTACTGTCATAATTTTATACCAAGAGAAATGAAATGAAATGAATGGAAATTGCCACAAATGCAGAACATTTAAGCACGGAAGTAAGTTTCGATACGGGTACGATTACGAATTTGGTTATGGAGTAAATGATAGTACAGTGCCGAATGTAAGGTTAAGACGCTTACAAGGAAGTGAATCCAAAGAAAGGCAACATCCAATACATGGGATATAGTTCCTAAAAGATGTAACAGATAAGAAATAAGAATTGTCTTATCGCTTGTATTGGATACCACCTCTACATTTTACTAATAAGTGTAAATGAATAATTAACATGTAATTGTGCTGACGCCAAGCTCCCATTGAGATAATTCATGAACATTAGTTAAAGCAATCACTCTCGTTCAGAGAAAAGACTATACTTAAATGTAGATAGTTAAATGTTGTGCAACTAATAATAAAGAAGGAAGTATTCTTTCTCTATCCTGGTACATTACCTCTCTTCTCACCCCTCTCACACGAAAAGAGCGCTTGTAAGAAACATGTTTCGAACAGCAACCAACGTGTGCACGGGAAGACAGCAGAGAGAGAAGTCCCGGAACATGGCGCGGCAAATAGCCATTTCCAATGGCTACGAAACTATAGCTCGGGAGAGCTGTAGAGGAAATCGGAGGCCCCCAAACGACAAATATAGCGACATAAAGGTCCCGTTTATCCTACCCTTCATCTCAAATGATGTAAGTGCAGATATAAAACGATGCTTAAGAAGTGCGGATCTAGAGAATTCGGTAAACGTAGTTGAAATGCCACCGAGTAATCTTAGGCGCTAGCTAGTTCGTAACCGCCTATATGACCGTTTATGTGCAGCGAAAAATTGCATAATTTGCCCTAATGGCAGAGACGGTGATTGCATGAGCTCGGGTATAGTTTATCTGATCTCCTGTAAGGCGTGCGGAGACGAATACATTGGCGAAACAGGCAGACCCCTCTGTGTCCGCATAAAAGAACACCTAACCGGAAAACATAAACCAAATACCTTGCTAAGCACGCATAGGACCCAGAGACATAACGGGGAGGACTTTGAAGTTCGTGTCACGATCCTCGCATTTGAATCGAGAACATAAGCGCGCAAAACTCTCGAAGTGTTATGAATTAATTCCAGAAATCCGAAAATAAACCGCATGGAAGAATGCCTCATTATCACGCGTGATATAGGGCAGTATATAAACCTGTTATTCTGATGGGAGGGGCACATTATGCTTCCATGGTGAAGGTGAAATCCGCCGAAACGTCAGCTTTTACGTAAATAAAGAAATAAAATAGCACCTCGTGTTTGCTGAACAGAAGTGGAAAGAATGATATTTATTTTCGGCTAACGTTTCAACGTCTTCGCTTTCCTCAGAGCCGATGATCCGCGTCGATGGTCCACGCTTGTTGTTCGTCTCGACGTGGCAGCTTCGCCTTCGTACCGAGTCAGGTCTTCCTCAGTGAGCCATCTCCTCGAATGAGGCATCCTGACTCAGTGATGTGATGCTCTTTTATGCAGGTTGCTGATGGTGGATAGTTATGATTTTCCGGTGATAGTGTGATAAAGCGAAGAAGGACCATCGACTCGGATCATCGGCTCTGAAGAAAGCGGAGAAGGAAGTGTCAAATCATAGCAGGGTATGATGTATGGCAGAATCACAAGGTTGCTCAGACATGAGCAAAACTCAGACTCCAGTCCAGATTCGAACTCGCGGTTACCCTTTTCGAAGTCTCAAATGCTATCCAGCACACCACCAAGGCCCTTATTTTGCCTTTCTCTCAGCCAAGTTCTGTCGGTGCTATCAGCAATCGCCCATCAACGGGAATGATCTAGTGAGCACAAATCGGCATTAAACCTAGTTATGCTAAAGCTGTAGTCCAAGTCACAGCCTATCAAATCATATGCATTCTTTCTTTGATGAGCTTACACCAGGTTGATAATTACATTTATTTTCGGCTAACGTTTCGACGTCTTCGTCTTCCCACTTCTGCTCAGCAAACACGAGGTGCTATTCCACTTCCCCACTCACGTAGAAGCTGACGTTTCGGCGGATTTTGCCTTCCTCAGAGCCGCTTTCTATGAGTCTTCCACTGAGTATGTCGTGTGAGGACCAACCGCACAGAATTCACCTCGAAGCGTAATGTGTAGTGCTGAGCAGAAGTGGAAAGAATTGTTCAATCAATGCTGAGGTTAATAGAAAGGCGGACGTGGGAGTCTTCATCTTCCTCAAAGCCGACGATCCGAGTCGATGGTCCACGCTTGTTATTCGTCTCGATGTGGCAGCTTCGCCTTCGTGTTGACTCAGGTCTTCCTCAGTGAGCCATATCCTCGAATGCGGTGTAAGCTCATCAAAGAAAGAATACATATACATATTGATTAGTGATACCGAGGTTTAAGGAAAGTCGGTTTCGAAATATTACTACCGCCTTGTGCTAGCTGGTAACAACACCGACTTCTGCACGATGTGCGCAATGATGTATGTCCGGAAGAAAAACAAGTTGTTATCACCGGACATTATCATTATATCCACCATCAGCATCGTGTATAAAAGGGCATCACTGAGCAAGGATGCTTCATTCAAAAAGATGGCTCGCTGAGGAAGACCTGACTCGAGACGAAGGCGAAGTTACCACATCGAGACGAATAACAAGTAACAATAACATAACGAGTAACGAATATCGACGACCATCGACTCAGATCGTCGGCTCTGAGGAAGACGAAGACGTCGAAACGTTAGCCGAAAATAAATGTAATTATCAACATCAACGCGCAAAACTAGAGGCGTTTTGGATAAATTTTAAAAATCCAAAGATGAACTGGAAAGACGAATGCCTCACTATCATGTATGACTTGGCACCCTATTTAAGAATGATATCTTGACCCCGGGTGTGTCTTGCTCGCGACCCCACGTGAACTACATGTGGGTCAGTCCCACACGTAACATCACGGTGGGTGGCCCTTCTGTTCAATATGGCGTCTATTTGAAAGTTTGATCTTCATCAATACTTTAACCTTTTTCCACTGAATAATAAAAATATTCTAGTATAAAATACGTCCAGACTATGAAGAAGGCGAGTTTGCCGAAACGTCGGTCATCGACCAACAACATCAAAAACAACGACAACGACAACGAAGACCTGTACCAACCTCGCGTCAGCTCAAGAAAATCAGTTTATAAGATCATATAAATAAGATCATGTATCAACTATCTATGCCGAGGTTTATAGAAAGTCGGTTTTTCGAGTAATTATCAACCTCGTGTAAGTTCATCAAAGAAAGAATGCATATTGATTAGTTACACCGAGGTTCAAGGAAAGTCGGTTTTGAAATATCAAATCATAGTTTAGAGGTATACAGTAGTTTGAGATTTCCTGACGAAATTTTTGGAAGCATACGGAAGGGCTTCTTCTTATTAGCGTGACACTAGGCACTTTCATACGTCACGCAGGAATCAGCAGTCATTCCTTCGAGCTGATTTGAGAAATGAGTAGATCAATATTGAGCTATCAGTTGGTTCTAAACTGTGGTCGGATTCATTTTCTTCAAAACAACGTTAATCTAATAATGCAACTAGTAGTGGTTTCATTTCAACCATTAGTCGGTTTCGAGTCGACGGATGTTCCCTCCAAGTTGTCGGCACGGGCGTCGAGTCGACGATTTACATTTCACATTCTTCGAGCTCGTACTTGCAGCTATTACACGTAAGTTATTATCACATAACCGCTTCGTAGGCAAGAATTTCCTCAAAATTGAACCCTTGCTTGGGTGTTGTGCGCAATTTGCCTCTGAACAGCCCAGATTTAATCGTAATGGTAGGGTAGGACGGTCTTTGATTCTTTATTATTTCGTATTTTATATAGACGGTTGCAGTTCGACAAAGAGCTTATGAAAAAGTAGATCGTCAGCTGCTCTTCAGCTGCTCTATCATGTTTCTTATTTGATAGAGAAACTAAAGAGTGATGAGTGTGATGAAAAAGAAGACCGGAAAGAAAATAGAGAAGAAGAAAGTTCTTACTTACTTTGTAGTGATGGATATCATCGTACTGACATGTTTATCAACAAGATGTAGAAGAGAAAAAATGAATTACGAGTTGTTGTCGAAAAGAGTGGACGAAACAGTAGAAGACTTGAAGACGTTACGGGACACGACAACAATGGTAAGTGGTACAGCGTTTTTTGGCAAATTCAGTCAGCTTTCAGCTCAAAACCACGGTGAAGTGTTGACATTGAGCTGTTCTTCACTATCATCCACTATCGTTACCACTATCAACAACATCAGAGCATCACAAAATATGTTCTTCGTGGAAGAGAAAATCCAACCAAAAAAGAAACTTAAGCTCAGTAATGACGTTTTCAAGACTTGAATAGATTGAGACTTCCTATCCAATGCAATGTACAATGAAAAATAAACAATTTCTTTGAAATACTGATGAAATAGTAGGTCATAATCCAAGACAGTTTGCTCAAACAGTTCAGCCACTAATGAGAAAAGAGCTTCCCGCTATGCGACTATATTTCTTCCTCCACGAGCTGCAATTCTTAGCGTGAGGCAGCTTTTGATAAGCAACAGATTAAAATATAGAACTACTTAATTTGGATAGTACGGTGGGGGTATGAACAGTCTTTTTGTGCAAACGCTAGAATATTTCTTCCTCACGCTGGTACTATAGATAGGAAGATCTTGTGTTTGATCGAGTAAGGGTCCACCGTGAAGCATCAAATCGATAGGTAGCTTAACTCAGCATCAGAAGTTAAAGATGCAAATCCGAGCCGCTTACGTAAATATAAGATCAAATCGTCAAAGTTTTTCGCTCATTGAAGAGTGTCCAAAGTAGTAATACAGTTTATTAGTGTTTGAAGAAGTCTTAGGATAGAAAGATCTAGAGTAACCATATATTTAATCAGTACTGGATTACATTAAATAGACAGTAGACTAGAGTAGACTACAACAAACAGATACTTTACAACCGATCATCGTTAGAAGTATGTCTTGCTAGTCAGTGTTCTTTCGGTTGGTGAACAGAAGGTATTCATTTGCTAGTCATTCTGCTTATATAATATTGATGACACATACGTTATGATGTTTTTCTATGATTTCAGCAAACAGTTGTGCCTTTGATGTATCTTCGTAAAATAAGAAAAAGCCAAGAAGAAACGGCCGTAGAGGATGCAATGGAAGACATCGGTGTCTGTGACACACAACTCTCATCTCGTTCCGTGCAGTCAGTTCTCTTGCCAACAGCTGACAACGCCTCCAAAACCGTCGATCCATAGCAGGGAATGTGAAATTACTGTATAAGTATTCTTTCGTATTCAGTTTTGCCTGGCAAAAACACTTATTGAAGCACCATGAATAGTGTCGGTTTAATAAAACTTTCGAAGTGTTGTAGTACAATTGTCTCAAAAGAATAGGATAGAAGCATTGAGATAAGGACCAAGAGAATACGATGGGGAGCGAAATATTGTGTATACGTCCACTATTTTAGAATTTCAACAAAGGTTCACCTTTAGCAAAAACGTTCCCAGTAACATCACACACGAAGGCTACGGCACCCTCTAGAAGTGAGGACGGGGAATTTCCACTCTCAGCTGTACCTATCACTTCTAATCCCTTTATTAATGTAGTAAGTGGGACTGGTACAGTAGCAGCTCAGTAAGCTTAATGATCATGAGTAGCATCACACTTGATACGCCGCTCTTTAATTTAACCATTTTTACAAGAGAATAGGCAAGGGTAATTTGTACTGTGACATATGCTCAACAATGTCTGGTTCCGGAAAAAAATGTCGAATGGATATCACCTACCACGCTATGATGGTAGACTGCTGAGAGATATCTGCATCAGAACAATTATATAGATTAAGTAACGATGATCTCATAGGGCAAGAAAGTGCTACATTATCGCAATTGTTTTTTGTACAATGGCAGTGTAATATCTGGAATCATTCTTCTTCACTTTCTTCAGTGATACTGTCATTTCAAACTAGTCAGCGGTCTTATTCATATTTAAGGGATTCGGTTTATTCCACCATTTTCCATCATTCGATTGACAAATCGTAGGATCGCTGCCGTCCTGAAAGAATCCTAGTCGCACAATGTCAGGTGATCGCACCATTGTTGAGGGCTGATAACTCTCTAGCAGAGTTATCTCGAGATTCCAAGAAAAAACACAGGTGAACAATATGTGAAGTGTCAATGAGAAAAGAAGATCTGGATCCCCAAGTGGCAGGTGAATGTATATACGAACTATACTACCTTCATAGATTATGATTTCGATAAAACGAAATGAACGAAAAAAGTGATAGGTTTTGCACTGCATGCAAGGATGAGTGATATAAGTTTAACATGGTAAACAAATGTACACAACCTTCCCAACGATTTACAGCCTCACCGTGGCTAGGAGGTGTTCCTGGGTGTCGGACTGCGATGTACAACGGGGGATTCACCTCTCCAGCAGTGTCTCCCAAGCTGAGAAGAAATCCTGCGTTTCCATAAGAAAGCTCAGCCAAGAGTAAACTAGTACCAGGACCCACCATCGTCCTGGTATCAAATTAGTCGTACAGTGGCAAATATCCTTCGGATCCATAAGGGCGGGGACTGCCTGTGGTGGCAACGAACTGGGCAGACTTTGCTTAGGCTGATCTCGGAACTCCAGGGAACCACAATAACTAAATCAGTAAAACTCCGAAGAAATGGATATTATGCTGAGGCCATCCAAGTATTCAAGTAAGACAATAATTATGAGAAGAAGAGAAAGAACTATGGACCATCAACAAGGATCGTCGGCTCTGATGAAGACGAAGACGTCGAAACGTTAGCCGAATAAACATCTCGTATCAAAGTCGCGTAAGCTCAACAATATAAACAAATATTCAAGTAAGTGAGTATAGATGTACACATCTAAGGATCCCTAAATGCTTGAAATTATGGAGAACTCTTTACATTCAGTATTTTTTTTACGAACTTCGTATTGGCTTAATAATTACTTGATACTTGAATGGCCCGTCCTCACTTGTTGTGCGAGCCCCAGCATGATCTCTATTTTTCGTAGATTTGCTGGCTAAGCCATTGTGGTTCCCTAGAATCCCGAGCTCAGCCTGGCCAAAGTCTGCCCTAGGTCTTCACCACTACAGGCAGTCGCAGCCGTTGTGGATCAGAGGGAGATTCACCACCATGCGACTTTGATACCAGGACTGTGGTGGATTCTGGTATTGGCTTACTCTTAGCTAGACTTCCTGATGGAAACGCCGGACTCCTTCTCTGCTTGGGAGACCCTGCCAGGAAATGAATCCCTCGCTGTACATCGCAGTCCGACACCCAAGAACATCTCCCAGCCACGATGAGGCGGTAAACCTTTGGGAGGAGCTTAATAATTAAGGAATAATATTTCCATATTCATTTGTGGATATCTTCATTTGACAAAAATATAAGAACGGTTTTGATTATTCTCAAGGATTTATATGCAAATATTAATTGAAGGCTTGATATCCAGTGAACGGGGTTACTTCGTCCAAGCTATTTTTTTTAATTTTTAGGAGCAAGTACCGCAGTGGTAGGAGGTATCGTACAATATGCATTCTACCAGTACCCGTACCTATCGGTCTGGTCCAGGCGCTGGCCAACTAGGCCTACATCGCTTCAAAGACAGAAAATTAGCACAGGAACTTATCTGGAAAACACGCCTCTAGTTCGTGGAAACATACGACTGGTGTGATGAAGACCTGGAGCTCCAACAGCGCTATCCTATGATTGCAAGCAGAATTAACTCGGCCATCGCTGAAAATTCTCATGTGGGAAGGATAATCCTCAACTACTATACGAACCCACGCTCAAATTCGATGACATCTGTGGATGATGGATTGAATGAAACGAAGCAAATGAGGAAAGTGCTCGGGTATATAACATGCTATAACGAGTTGCATAAAAAAGTAGATAAATAATTCTCCGAAACGATTGACAGTGGTCAATAAGTCAGCGTTTTCTTCATGAGTAGACATGAGATTGTTAAGTACAAAGCACCTTTATAATGGAGAAGATTTTGAAATAAAAGTCATTGTCCTGGACAGGAATCGAAAGCGGTGCGTAAAACCCTTTCGGAGTTTTGGCTACATTTCAAAAATGCAAAAATTAACAACTTAGCACCATGCCTTAGGCTGATTCTCTGACCTGAGCCAGGCAACATTCCTCTCCCGTGTAATACTCTGTGCGGCTGGTCTCCACCAGTTAACTGGAAGGCTTATAACAAACAAAACGGTGCGTGTTTAAAAGAAGCTGCTTATTATTCGAATGAATATTTCTGCATTATGACCACAATGATCTTGAGATATTTTGATGGGTGGGGCACATTACGCTTCCATGTGAATTCTGTGCGATTGATCTTCCCGCGGCGACATACTCAGTGGAAGCCTCAAAGAAAGCTGTGAGTGTGCAAAACTGTGTTCAATGTAATTAAAATCTTGGTTTAGCGTTTTATTTGTTTGGTTATGGTGGTGTTTGGCCGAATATATTTCTGTCAACTTGACCTTTCCAGGCTCTGAGGAAGGCGAAATCCGCCGAAACGTCAGTTTATTCGTGAATAAAGAATAAAATAACACCTCGCGTTTGCTCAACAAGAATACGAAGATCTTGAGATATTTGCAAAACCTGGACCTTAGGCCAGAGGGAACCCGCGAATACCCTCTCTGGCTCACGTGTGCATCACTGCACCACTGAGACCCCTGTTCTGCTTTTCTGTCTTTTGTCTAACACAATGCATTCATTGATTATGTTTTATCTGCTGACGTTATGAAAGTGTTTTTCTGAATGAACTGCATATTAATTTGACAATTCCAGGATCTGAAGAATGGTGGAACCACCGAAAGGTCGGTCAGTATTGATTATTATTGTTATAAACAGCATTAACATTATCATTATTATTATTACCATTATTATTGTTACTAACAACCTCGTGACTGCTCAAGATGGAAACATTGACCTAGATGGGTAATTTTCAAGATTGAACGTTTTGCTCCTAAATAAAATGTGTCCCTACGGTAAGACAATAATCTATCGATATTCTAGAGCACAGATTTCACCGTACATTTATAAATCCATGTTTCTTCTTTTTAATTACTGAAATAAAATTTAAGGGAAGAATTTTCGAGCACTAAATTCATGCTAGGACGTAAAGCTGTGAGAACGGCTTGCACTACTCCTACCAGTGCCAGTGCACTACTCCTTTCACTTGGGCCAGCCAAGAGATGTACTGTACTCTTGGCACGACGTTGATTTTAAAAATCTCGTAATTCGGATGTGTGCCCTAAAGATGAGCAAGACAGAAAGCATGATAAGCGTTAATGACATCCACTAGAAAACATGAACTGAAGCAAATCCAGTTCCTGTAGTTCGAAAACTTTCCCGAACAATCAGGTTTAGGTAGTACAACAGTTTCGGAATCCTACAGCGATTTCGGACAAATGAAGAAATAAAGAAGGGAGAAAAGTCAAGGAATGAGTTCCACATGAATGGAATGGAAAACACTGAGATCGCTGCCATGAAATCTGTACTGTGCTTCCTTTGCGAAACAAAAACAATACGTTCCACACTGTGGTATGCGACTAACAACGAATTCTGCACAACAATCTGCATGGTATTTGAAAAGAAAAAATGATGAGACATCAAAATACTTCCCAAAACCGAAATTTCATCAGAATCTAACTGGTTACGATAACTTGCACACAGATAGGGTTATCCATATAAGTTTATACATGTTGTTACCGAAATTGTTACAGCAGAGAAGCATGGGAACCACGAGAATGTTTGGCTACTCACGTGTACCAAAATCAACACTGCAGAAATTGGAAGTTCGACGATATGAAAAACTACTGAATCCAAAAGATTGGAAGGAAACCTGTAAAATATTTATTTTCCAAGTATCTGAACTTCCCAAGACCGACTTTCTGTTAACCTCGGTATTGATTGATAAATCGATGTTTTTCTTCAATAAGCAGACACAAGGCTGTTATTATAGGATTTATTAGGATACAACAACTGACGTTTCGGCAGTTTCCCTTTCTTCAGAGCCTAGAAGGGTCAAATTGAGATGCGGTCTACTCAGCCAAACACTTTCATAACCCCAGCAGATAAAACTTAACAAATAAATTTGCCTTCACCTTTTTGGAATCGATCCAAAACGTTTCAAGAGTTTTACGCGTTTATGTTCTCGATTCCTGCGTAAGGATAGTGACTCCTACTTAAAAATTTTCTCCGTTGTGTTCCTGCATCCTATGCGCGCC